TGCGATGTTTTGCGTCGTTCTGCGCCCCAACATCATTGCGAGACACACAAAAATGCGAATTAGCTAAAATCGTGTTTTTTTGTCGTTTCAATTGCGTTGGTTCTCCTTCGTTCGATTTTTGAAAAGTTGTGAATTCTGTATAAATGGTTTGTGGTTTTGAATGTTTTATATTAAATCAGCATAGAACTTGGACATACAAACCGCGCAACACCACATACATGCAACACACAAGAACAACACATATGAAAGAATATGTGTTTTCTGTTCTTTTCGCTGGGCGCATTTGCACAACATACGCAAGCATGTCTTAATGCATAAGCATGTGTATGCACCTGCTAAGCTGTTGCGCTCATCCGAATTATCGCATTTTCAAAAACTCTACGTGTAGGAGTATTGTTATTTCGTGCATGTGCCGCATGTGCCGCATGTGCGAACCTTGAACATATTGGAGTCATAACACTGCTGGGGGGGGCAAGTCCGATTGCCACGATTGCCGCGCCATCCCGCCCCCTCCTTCCTGCTGCTACCCAGATCCGACGTCGAGGTCGACTTTGCGATGCGCCTTTCGGGAAGGTTGGGGCCCGTTGGGGCCCTTTGGGGCCCTCGGAACTGTCATCCCATGGAACCTGGGTCCCCCGCCAGCGACATCGCCATGACCTGGATTTAAAGGGAAAGTGACCAACGTCGGATCTGGGCCTGACGTCGGCGGCACCTCGCACGACGACTCGACGACGACGACGACGGCGACGACGACTCGACGATAGAGTTCCTGGCGGCCTCGGGGCTTGGACCCGCAGGGGTCCGCTGGCGGCGGCGGGCCCTGGTGGGCCACTGCCTCTGGGTGTTTTTTTCTCTCACGTCCCGGACTCATCGAAGCCGACGGTTGACGAACGAAGAACGCCGCGTGACGTCGCCAGGGGCTCGACGACGGCGCTGCGGCGGCGTCGACGGCGGACGAACGACCCGTCACGCGACGACAGGATTACGAATCGACGACGACGACTCGATTGCGAATCGACGACGAAACCCCCGGCCCCCCAGCCACTTCCGCGGCACCGTGGGCCCCAGGATAGCGCCGCTGAGCGGGGGGGGCGGCGAGGGCCGAGGGCCGGAGGGCCCGCGGGGGGGCCGTGGAACCCTGGGAACCGATTGGCACGGGGCCACGAGGCAGGGCCCGAGCGAGGGATGGCAGGGGGGACTCGACTGGGACGACGACGCGACGACGAAGACCTGACGCCGGTGACGCCTCGAGCCGCCCTTCCCGGGCCCCGGGGCCCGCCGCCCTCCGCGCCCTCCGCCATGGGGCCTTGCAACAAGGACGCCGACGCCCGCCGGCGCTGCCCGGGAAAGAAGGGGAGAGACAGATGAAGGGAGGGAGAATGATGATGGATGATGATGAGCTTCGAGTCCGATGGCATAGAATAGAATACAACAACAATCGTAATACACAATACGCGCATGTCCCATGGCATGCGCTGCACAGAGGGCTACTATAATCAGGCTGCGGGGCGAGGCGACACAGACGGCGGCTCGGACAAGCACGCGACGAGCCCCGTCTGCGCTCGCGTCGCAGCAAAGCGAGCGACGCAATCGTTGGCCCCACCGCGAAGCCTAGCCGCCTGCGCGTTGTCAAGCAAGACGAATTCGTTGAAAGAAGATTGAGAGGCATGGGAGTCTAGGATAAATCGGATAAGTCGGAGAGGGCAGGGGGACGGAGAGAAAGAGAGAGAGAGAGAGAGAGAGAGAGAGAGAGAGAGAGAGAGAGAGAGAGAGAGAGAGAGAGAGAGAGAGAGAGAGAGAGAGAGAGAGAGAGAGAGAGAGAGAGAGAGAGAGAGAGAGAGCGAGAGAGAGAGAGAGAGTGAGAGAGAGAGAGAGAGAGAGAGAGAGAGAGAGAGAGAGAGAGAGAGAGAGAGAGAGAGAGAGAGAGAGAGAGAGGGAAAAGGAGGGAGGGAAAGGAAGTGGAGAAAGAGAGAGAGTGCGAGAGAAGAGTGAGCGACTAGAGAAGAGTTGGACCAGGATTGGAGTGAGTTTGGATGGCGAATGGGCGAAGGGCTGGAGGGGGCGGAAGGGCGGGAGTCCTGGGGAATCTTGGATGGTGCTGGAGCAGGTGCGCAGGTGCGTGGCGCTGCGTAGGGAGGCGAAGGGCGCAGGGCAAAAGGCCGGAGGAAGGGCTGCTGGAGAGTCTCGGACTAGAGGAAGGGGTTGGAGCACGGCCAAGCGGCAGTGGCGGCGGCGCCGGGGCGCAGCCAACGTGGCCGGACGTCGTCGCGGCGTCACCTTCCTTCTCCTTCTCCTCGTCGTAGTCGTCCTCCTCCTCATCCCCCTCCCCCTCCTTTTCCTCGTGACTCATGTCATCATGCCTTGTCATATCCTTCCCCCCCTCTCTTCCCGAGGGTTTCCAATCCTTCATCATTCACCGCGCCCTACTCTTCCCCCCCCTCTCCTCCCTTGTCCCTACTCCCTCGCAGTGCCGACGCCATATGGGAAGGGCGTGTGCCTTCCGAGCGCAGGCGCAAGCCCTGGCCGCCTAGCGCATCAGGTGCTTCACGAATTTAGCCGAGACCTTCTCGCGCCTCGGCTTCTTCTTCAACTTCACGCCGCCGGCCTCGTCGTCGTCCTCCTCGTCTGAGACGTCGACCGCGAAGGCGACGTCCGCGGACCTCCGGCGGCCTTCCCCCTCGGTCTCCTCCGGCTCCGGCGGCTTCGGATCCTCGAGCGCCGGCGGATCAGCCTTCGGCATGCGGCATGCGTCGAAACAACGACGCGGCGACGACGCTTCTGCGCCCCCGCCCCCCCCCAACCCCCGCGCTTTCGGACCCTGCGACCCTATCAGGTGACCGGGGTCGCAGCGGGGAAGGGGAGAAGCGTCGACGCCGCGTCGACGCCGTCGACGCCGTCGACGCCGACAACTCGTTCAGACGGGAACCGCCTCCTGGAGTGCCTCCTTGCGCTCCTCCGGAAACGCGTGGCGCGTGAGCTCCACCTCCTCGCCGTAGCCCCACTCGGCGTTCTCGTCGTCGTCACAGCCGAACGCAGCGCCATTCATGACCAGCGAGGGCAACCAGAACTTGACGGTGGGGCCTGTCACGGGCGGGTCCGCCGCGGCGGCCGCCTTGGGCACCTCGGCCGCCACGGCCACGCTGGCGGCGGCCGCGCCAACCGCGCCCTCGGTGGCCTCCCCGGAGACGGCCTTAGCGGCCTCGTCGTCAGTCGCCTTCTCTTGCAGCTCCTCCTCATCCTCATGCTCAAACTCCTGCATCACTGGCGTCGTCGCCGCCTTGGCCGCCTTGGCCGCCGTGGGAGCAGCCTCCTCCGCCCGCTCTGGAAACTTCATGATGGGCAAGTTGACGTCCACAATCGCCCTGCGCAAGACCAACGACGGGGTGACGTTATCCTTCACGACTCGCACGCACCAGGCTGGGACGCAATTTGCCGAGAACCCGTTGGCCTGCCCTGGACCTGGCTGCAAGTAGAAATCCATCGACAATGGCCCCATCTGCTCCTTCCTCTCCTCGTCGATCATCTCCGGGCCAGTGCCATCTCGCACGCGAACGTGCAGCGGCTTGGTAGACAACGGCTTCGACCCGTGCGAGACGCAGCACACCCTCCCGCGGAAGAACATCTCGAAGTCGTCGTCCTTCTCGAACTTGCAGAAGAACTTCAAGGCTTTTGCTGACTTCGCCTTGACAAGAACTTTCTCGAGGCATTTGTCGGCTGGCACGAGGCCCCCGCTGTGGGCTGTGGAGAACGCGGCAGTCATGTGATTGCTGATGTGCTCGGACTCCCACGCGCAACGGCGGGCGACGTCGGTCGAGAGCGACAGGAAAGGGCGGGCCTCGCCACTGCAGCTTGCAACCAATGCATCAACGTTCGGGGCATCGAAGAAGCCAACAAGCTCATGGGGCACCGCGTCGCTGCTGGTAGCACGGCGCGCGGCGCCGGTGACATCTCTGAGGGCGTTCGTGACCAGCTCATTCCATGACTTCTCCAGCTCGATTTCTTCATCCTTCAAGCGCGCCACGTCTGCCATCGCCAGAATCGTCGCTGCAGCGTCCTTGGTGAGCTTATCAATGCCACCGCCATCAGCGTGCTCAGCATAGGCAATGGCGACGTCGCTCTCGGAAGGGAACTTCGCGACAACGAGCTTCACCTGGGCAGGGGGGGCGGAGGGAGGAGAGGGATGGCATGATGATTCGAATCCTGAGGCCCCTGGGCCCCCTGGGCCCCTGGGCTACCCCTGGGCCCCTGGGCCACCCCTGTGCTTCGCTGCCTCGCTTGTCGCGGTTTTCTTTGCGCCCCTGCGAAAGCGCCCTGGGAGAAGAGGGCCACGGCGGCTACCATGGGCCCCATGGGCAGCATCACAACGCAAAGCGCAACGTCCCCCGCCTGGCCCCTTGGAATGAATTTGCGCGCGCGCATCGCGCATCCCCCACCCTCGACCCCCAAGACGCCGTTCGACTCCACACCCCTGCCCCGATTTGTGCTGCCCATGCCCCCCATGGATGGCTGCCACGCACGCCCTTGAACTCAGCGTGTCACTGTCACCTGCGAGTTGAGTTCGTCGGCCTTGTTCCTCATGTGCTTCCTCTTCTGATCCTCGAGCGTTTTCTGCCACTCGGCATCGGACTTCTTTGAAAAGTTGGCCTCGCTGGTGCTTGCTGCGGCGAACCTATTGAAGATCTTGATCCACGTGGCAATCCACGCCTCAACTCCTAACCCTTCTTTGCCACGGTCCTCGTGAACGCTCGTAGTAGTGTCCACGTCAATCTCCGCGAGCGCCGTGCTCAAATTTCTGACGCAGGCTGCGACTGTCCCGACTTCCTTGGCAACCTTGCCGAACGCGGCCTGCGCGGCCGCACCGAGAGGAGAACGGTCGCAAGGGACGTCACCGGGACCGTCACCGGCGGCGCTGTCGGCGTCGCCATCAGGGCCATCAGGGCGTTTCTCGAGCTTCCTGAAGCAGTCGACGAGGGCGACCCCGAGCTCGGACAGGAGCTGTCCTGCGGGCGCGTTCGCTGCCCGTTTGGCTCCATTGTGGGCCCCCAGGGCCCCTCGGGGACGGGGATGGAGCCCGGAGCCCTCGAACCCAAACCCCTGGCGCCTGAACCCATGGAAACATCATGGAACGTCCCGCGCGGGCCCCCTTGGCCGCGCCGTTGAAAATATCCCGCGGACGGCTGACAAGCGGTCGGGGGGCGGGGGCTGTCGCTCAGTCACTCAGTCAAAACCTCCGCTCACTCCTCACCTATCTCCCATCTCACCTGCAATCCTCCCATCATATCTCCCTCCCCATCCACCTCCTCCTGCCCTCCCTCCCCCCCTTCCACGCCGCGCCTCCTGCTCCTCCTTCTTCCCCGGGGCCCTCCTCCTCCTCCTCCTTACTCATTCTCCATCTCCTCATCCTCCTTTACCCCGGGATCCTGCGTAGACTGTCCTCAAGCGCAGCAGCCAGTCCACGAGCTCCGGGGCCTTGTCGAACTCGGCGAAGAGCTGGGCCAGGTTGGCCCCGAACCCGCCCTTGGTGGTCAACCCATGGAACTGGGGCCGCATCGTGGTGAGGAGGCGCGACAATCCGACGAGCTTTCAACGCCAGGCGCCCCCAGTCGGTGAATCACACCAGCCCTCTGCGCGCATGTGGTCTAGAGCCAGAGCATTTCCTCTTCCACCCCTCCATCTTCCCCTTCGGGGCGGGGTTTACCCATCCCCCCAACCCCCTCCCCTGGACTTGGACGGGGCGCCACGCGAGCGGTCAGAGCGCTTGAGATGGCCCAAGATGGCTCCAAGAAGGTCTCGGAGAGCCCAAGGCGAGGCCCAAGATTGCTCGAGCTTGCTCGCTTTTTCGCTTCCGATGGCCCGATGGCCATCCGAGGCCCCAAGATGGCCCCAATATGGCCCAAGCGCGCCCCGATAGATGCCCAAGCGAGCCCCGAGACGGCCCCGAGAGCGCCCAAGGGCGCCCCAGGAGCGCTCTAAGACTCTAAGAGGGGTCCAGATTGGGATTATTGGGGGACCCGAGGGAGGGCCTAATTGAGGAGCCCCCCTTCTTTGACCGATATCCTCCAAGATGGCACCAATAAGCCCCCGTAGCGCCTCCAAGAGCGCCCCGAAAATGGCCCCCAAGAGGCGCCCAGGAAGCCCTAAGAGGCGCCCAAGATGCCGCCAATAGCCCCCCAATATACCCCAAATGATCCCCCTCCTCCTCCTCATCCTCCTCATCCTGCTCATCCGCCCCTCATAATCGCCATCATCATCACCATCACCATCATCATCATCACCATCCTCATCATCATCATCCTCATCATCACCATCGTCATCGCTATCACCAGCATCAACATCATCATCATCATCATCATCATCATCATCATCCGCACATTCCTCCCCATCCTTCTCCTTATCCTCCTCCCCTCCTCCCTCCCTCCTCCCCCGTCATCATCCCCCTCTTCCTCCGCCTCCGACTCCTCCTCCATGCCCCCACCCCCCTCTTGGGGTGCGACGGTTTCCCAAGCCAGTTGTTCCTGTTGTTCCTCTGTGCGCTCCCCACACTTCCCTGATCGGCTCAACTCCCCTGGGCATCGTTTCTGGATGGGCTGGCGGGGATGCGCGAAGCGTCAAGAATTTCAGATGCAGAAACAACGACGCGACGAGGGCGACTCGAGCTCGACGGAGCGAGGGCGACGCTGCAAGGCCAGGGAAAGGCAATAATTGCCGAGGGCCTAGCAGCCATGGGCCATGACGACCATGGGGCCAATGGGGCCAAGGGCCCCAGGGCAAGGGGCCACGGGGGGGAAGGTCCTGCGGCCAGATCTCCAACTGGACCCCGGTCCGTTTGGAGATCTGGTGCCGAGGAGGAGGAGGAGGCGAGGCGAAAGGGCGGAAGATGAAGACACGGACGACGACGAGAGGGAACGGACGAGCGACGAGAACGAGCGAACGAGGCTGCCGAGGCGAATCGGCACGAGAGGCCATGCGGAATGCAGACATGCCCGAATGTGATTGTGACGGTCGTCTTCGTCTCGCCCTGGCCGCCGCTCGGAGCGCCCGCGGCCTCTGCCTCTGTGAAAAGCCAGGGGAACTTAAACAAGGGGTCTCGGGGGCATCGTTATCCGTAAGAAGGCGGCCACCTCAGGACAATTTCATCTCCAACCAACCTCAACCTCATGCGTTTGATGCGATGTATCTTGATTGCAGCTTGCTGTCGCGCTGCCAGGATGTCGACCCCGGGCCAAGACGACCGGAAAGACAAGCTGGCGGCATGGAGGCCCCCTATCCCCTCCCGTCCCTCCGCCGCTCCACCATCTCATTGCAGTCTCATTGCTCAGTTCTGCCCCCCTCCACCCTCGGCCCCTCCGCCGACCCCGGCCCCCCCCTCCCCTGCCCCCCGCCAAGCCCTCCCATCGCGCTTCCTCCAAAAGCCATCCTGAGGCTCAATCCTGAGGGGTCTGGATTTGAGTATGACTGTTTCGATCATCGGACCTCGAGTGCGTTTCAAAAACCGTTTAAAACATCAAAGCCAGCTGTTCCAAGAAGCCACCGCCCACGGCGAGATCCCTGGGAGGAACGTCGTTTGGTTCGCACCGTGCGAGCCTGAAGATGATCTGCCTCCTGCTTCAACCATGTAGAGACGCGGCTGAGAAAGACAATGGCATCCACGTCGATGGCCTTGTATATCACGTCGCTGATAATCTTTACGGCGGCCTCGCGGTAGCCATTCATGAGATCTGACTCGCTGGAGCCGGAGCCGCTGGCAATCTTAGCCAAAGCAACAGGCTGCAACTCAAAGCGGCACATGCGGCGCAAATGGTTGGCGGCCCGAGTATAGATGACGTGGCCGAACTGCGTGTCCTGGTCCATGGGGGCGTCAGTTATCATGGTGAGGCACTTCTTCGGGATCCCAGCGTTCGCATTCAGCAGCTCCGCAATGCGGTGTTCAAGAGAATTGTCCTCTGCGTCGCCCATGGGGTCGTCGCCACCGCCAGCAACGCCACCGCCGCCGCTCGGCTTTGCCACGCCCGGCCCATCAGCGTCGTCGCCGCCGCCCTCAGCAGCGCCAAGGCGGGTCATCATCTCAGCATCGGGGTCAGAGTTCCTAGGGCAGAGTTCGTGGCGCCTCGCGAGGAGTGACTTGACGTAAGAGCGCAACGAAAGCCAACTCTTCACCACCTTGTCCTTGCCCGACTTGTCCTTATACGTGTAGGACCCCTCGAAAATGAAGTCGAACGCTGTCTGGATGCACTCTGAAATGGCTTGCTCCTTCCAACTCTCCGGCTTGATGTCCTGCAGCGTGTGCTCGATTGCGTTGCCAAGGTCGTCGATCACCGTCACCTTCCGAGTGCTGCCATCTTCAGAACGAACGAAGGAACTGAACGACTCTGTGTCTTGAACTTCATGCGCCTTGGCGCCAGGTCTGGCCTTGGCCTTGCCCTTCTTCGGCTTTTTGACTTTATCCTTTTTCTGGTCAGGGGCGGACCGGGCGGCCTTGAAGGTCTTCGATTCTGCCATCGGGTTGAGCAACAAAAGAACAATCGAGCAATCATCTATGCTCTTGAAGCGCCACTTGATGCCGTCATCCGTGGGGATGACGCACTTCAGCGCCTCGAAGGCAATGCGAACCCACATCGGGCGGCCCGTCTTGATGAACTGCGCCGCGATGGTGTTGTTGTTGAAGAAAACAGCTTTCTGGTCCAGTCCCGGGGTGCTGTACACACAATGCTTATCCACATATGAGACGTAGTTATCCCACTCACCTTGAGCGAGCATTACATTGCGGAACGAAGCCGCACGAAAGTATTCTCGCTGAGACTTGAAGCGGTTGGGAAAGAGCAAGGTCACCTTAGCATATATCTTTGCTTCGTACTGAGAATCATTGGACGTCATAGTCTTCTTATAATCTTCCACTTTGGGTTCAATCACAGCCAACTTTCTATAATGCTCAAGGAAGCTCGTCTTGGAGCCGACGCCATTCAACAAGTTGGCCAAGTCAACGAGGTAATATTGGATGTCGGGTGGAGACCGCCGCGAAAAGATCGTGACGTTGGCGACCCCGGCATTGATGGTGGCAATCACCTGCTCGTTGGTGGGGTCCATCTCAAAGGCGTCGTACGCGGCCTCGATGAGCGTCATGCCGCCGAGGCAATCGAACTTCATGTTAGCGCCTGTATGGGGGGCTGCAACAGCGCCAATGTATTCCGCCCTCGTCATATAATAATAACAAATGTGAGTACATCATTATATCATATCTCCCTCCTCCCCATCCTGGCATCCTCGCTCTCTCCCTTCCGTTCTGCCTTCCCGCCTCCTCCTTCTCCTCCTCTTCAGTCATATATATTCTTCTCCTCCTCTTCCTTCTTCCCCCCCCCCCCCCTCTGCTCCATCCCCCAGCGACCTCGATCGCCTCCCCCCCCATCGTGGCCCCTCATCCCTCCCCCGAAGATTTCAAGGAAGCCCAGGGGCCCAGGGGCCCAGTGACCTGAGTTGCCTTCGTCTTCTGTCCTTCGGTCCTTCTGTCGCCTCCGCCCTCTCCCCCTCCTCCTCCTCCTCCTCCTCCTTCCTTATCAGTCCCATCCTCCTGCTTCCCCCCCTTCTCCTCCATCGTCATCCTCATCCTCCCGTACTCGCTCGATCTCCTCGACGGCGCGGGCCTACGGCTGCGTCGCCCGACAGCGGCGCGACCCAAGGACCGCCCCGCACGTCGTGGATGACGCCGTTCTCCCGGATGATGTTGCAGTAATGCTTGCGCGTGTCGGCCTCGTGGCGATCGTTCTTGGCGCTCCTCTGGAATGTCTTTTCATTGGTGACGGGGTCGAAGTATGGCACTGTCGGGCGGGTCAGCTCCACGTATGTAGCCCACGCCATGTCTTGACGAAGCCGGCCTTTCACATTGGGAAACCGTTCCTCGATCGTGATCGGGGCGTCGTCGAAGGGGCCGAACCGCGAGAAACCAGCGGAGTGCGGAGTCGAAGGCGTCGCTGGCGTTCCTGGAGCGCGGCCAGTCGACGTCGCC